GTTTGTTCTTAAAACTTAGTGGATTTTATAGGTGGAACCCCCACTAAAAATTTTACCCTTCATGACTACAACTTGCTGTTAAGTGGGAGGTGGGAGTTACTCATTCCAGAGGGCTACTGCCACTGGCTTCTCACATGCTCTGTGGTACACAGTGGTTGCCTGTTCACTCAACTGGACACAGAACCAGGTCAGCACATATGGCCCTAAGCATCCCTTCTCACTTGGAGATCTGTGCCCTCTTCCTCAGTAAGGCAACCCTGAGAACTCAGAGACCAGCAGGCACCTGCTTTTCGCAGGCACATACAAATGGAAAGGAAGCTCCCTGACTTTAAACACAATATTTAATACAGAAGAACAGCATAACCCTGGTGAGTGCAGGCTGTCATGAACCTACACTGCTCTCTACAGAGTTTAATTACAAGTGTGATAATGTAAGCTTCATCTCACAATTACCAGACATTTTTCCACTGATGGCCACCAGACAGTGTATTAACAGAATTTTAAAAAGCCAACTTTCAGCAGTGGTATACTGTAAATCAAAGCCAAAAGTAAGACAGCCTGCAAAGTACTATCAGTGGGCAACACAGAAGCAACAATATACTATCAAATATTACATGAGATGTTATTTGCACAAATTATTTCAACCTATGACTTCTGTCAACAATGAAGGCCACGACAAGTGTCAAAACCACCTAATTCCCCCAACTCTGCAGTTCAAAAAATTGCAGTCAGATGAATGAATATGCTTTGCCCTGGATCAATGGTAATGACTACCTACACCCACAGCAACACTGCTTGGCAGTAAAGGTTTTGAGAAGTTAGCATTGCTCTGTGGGACTGATTACAGGGTTAGAGTAGTAAACTCAACTAAATACATGAAGGAAGTTGTCCTGTCTGTACAAAAACTTGTCACTAGTCTTTAGCAAGTACAGCCAGCATCAATCTTAATGTGATCAGTTTTTAAATATTTTTCAATTTCACCCCTTAAATTAGCTTGCTGTACTGCTATTTTATAGTTAGATCGTAATATCTGGAATAGGAAGAAAGGGTTAGTGTTTTTGACAGAGAGCAAGCAGTATTGCAGCAACAAGGACTGACTCTTGACATTGCTGACAAGGACAGCAGTAGCCAAATCCTCATATGGAATGTACACCCAAATTCAGTTATGACAAAGTTGGGTTGTAGGTTTCATTTCCTTCCCTCTTGCACTTCTCATCCCCAGCTTCTCTTTGTTTTCTTTTGCTGATCAGCCACATCTAAGCTGAGTGTCAGCAGTCCTATTTCCCTCAGGTGGAGTGGTAAGTAGAACACACAACAAAAAAACTGATTACATGAGACAGTCAGTAGAGACAGGTCTATGCTAGTTAAAGGAAGGAGGGTTAAACCCAGTTTTCAGCCATCAGGTTATTACACTTAAGCCTTGGAGTCCTCCAATGTCTCTTTACTTTCTTCTGGGACAGCAGACTCTGTCATGTAACATCTCCCTTCACCCGCCTGTTCTCTACTACCTCCCTCCCCAGATGCACATTCTAGCCTTGATGGGCTAAAACAACACAGAGCTAGAAATTTATGTACCTATACTTTTACATCCAATAGGCATAAAATATTACGTCAAATTCTATGAAATAGATTAGAAACTAAAACTAAAATAAAGAACTGAAACCATTTTGTTCAATATCTCAAGTTTGTAAAATCAGGAGATAAATCTTTAGTGCTAAAACCTAAGTCTTAGTGCTGTACAGAATACATGAAAAAGTAATTTATCAACCTGTTATGAAATTCTGTGGTAACCTGCTTCCAAGTTCAGAGTATTTTCTTGAAGGAGCTGTAAAACATAAGGTATTTTTCATAATCTGGATTGGTTTTTTTAATGAATTCAGGTGGGATAGTCAATTTAACACATTCAGTCTAAAGGACTATTTTAGCCATGGTAAAATTTCTTCATTCTAAAAATGTAATATTCAACTGTAGAACATTTGGACATGGTTTACCTCCTAGTAAAATAAAATACAAATCACCAAATCTGAACCTCTCTCTCCATAAAGTTCTCTAGAAGATTTTAATAATACACATCCTTTCCCCTGTGTTTCACTGATATAACTGCAGAGAAAATTGAATTTAACATGTAGACTTTATAAGGAATGCAGTAATAGTTTTTTTAACTATGGGTATTCTCATCCCTGCTCAGAACTTAGGCAGATGCATCCAATTAACGATGAATCATTCCACATAAATTTCCTGTTTAGAACATACTGGCAATATCAGCACAACAACCTACAGAGCTCAAAATGGTCACAGATCACCAGCAATTCTGGTTCCAGACCCAAAAAAGTGAAGGGTGGGGGTGTCCCAAGAAACAAATTGTTCACTCCAGATTCTAGATGAACTATCATTATGCTGCTTCAAAGGAACTACACTCCTGTATGCAGATAGAGACGTGTATGCTACACATTGGATATGATATACAGCCAGAGATCACTAGAAATAACAAAATTTATTTACTGTGATCCTAAGGACTATTCAGCATATTTGCAATAAAATTATGTGTGAAGGCAATTGTGGATATTTTGATTGCTAAGCACCAGAGCATTCAAAAACAGCTGTTCTTTTTGCCATTTTACTGACTGAAAGCTGGGCCACAATTACACAGAAGGCACTGAAAAGAGTAAAAATTAATTAATTAGACAAACAACCTGGTTCTGTTTATCCACAATGTATCTTCAAAATAACTGATGGAAAGTGCCTCCCTTTTGAAAAGTGTCAAAGGAAAATAAAGTCAGCAGTCATCTGACTGCATTGTCAATTGAAAGTTTTGGTCAAATTCCACTTTCTGTAGTAAAGCCCATTCTCATTCTACCTACTTTGTTGATTAATTTCTGCCTTTCCTGAATAAGTTTTTCCCTTTCAGGAATTGCCATGTCTTCTGCAGCAGCCTATTGCCCAGATACTGCTGGAGCAAGGTACAATGTCCTAGTTTCTAATCCTTCCTAGGGAGGCCCATTGAGCTCCAAACTCTCAACGCCCATGGACATTTCAATGGTGCTTCTTTTATTCTCAAATGCTCTCTTCTGGAAGCCCCACAGTTGAAAAGACTGACCACAAGAAGGAAACTAATCACAGGTAACCCTCTATTTCTTTTTTACATGACTGATAGAAGGGAACACCTTTTTTGTACATTCACATATAAACTCTACATTTCAGTGATCATATTTGAAGTTTGGTTGTTATTTAAAAAAATAAAGCAACCTGGAAACATTTTAGGTACCATAAGCATAAAAAAGATTTACCATGAAAGGTAACAAAATCCAATATGCACTAAATGTTATATTTTATTTTAAAGCAACTTATGTTCTTCTGAAGGTTTTTTTTTTAAATAGGTTTGTATGTAGTTCCATTTTCCTCATCTTGAAAATTACTGATCTGTCCTCTAAATAGCCTAGTATAAACTTCCACAGCATGTGGCCATCCTGTAAATACTGCACTGAAATTATTTCAGTTCCCTTTAATTTTCACCACTTTTCATGTATTTTGACTTCAGCTTTCACAGAATGCAGTCAGGAATCACATAACCAATTTTAAAGGTATTTAAGTGTACAGCCCTGTCTGATTTGTGAGAATGGAAAAATCTATGAGGAACAAAAACTGTTTTCTTGAGCTATCACCTTATTCCTAGCCTCAGGGGGAAATTTTCTCTACAAGCTCATTGCTCTTGATCAGGCACTGTAAAGCATACACCTAAATGAAACACTCCCCAGTAAAGGGGAATGGTTGGTTTTCATTCAGTTTGGCTCACTAATGATCATTAAGATTTTAGGCTTTTTAACCCTCAACAAAGAAATTGCTTTGAATTTATTAAAAGGTTCTTCTCACCGACCATTTTGAATGCTGAGGTTTTAAAGGACACAAGCAGAAACATTCCAGAGTGCATAATAAATAAACTGAACACAATAAAGGTAACCAGGTCTTTCAGAAGTTTGTCAGGGCTCCAGGAGATGAGCAGTTATCTTCTTCAAGCTCAGCAGAGAAGCATGAAATGAACTTCAGGTTGCAACTAACTAGGGAGACAGGTAAGAAAGAACATCTCCCATTCTAATATTATTTAATGCCAGAATGGACAAGGTATTTTAACAGCAAAGAGGAAGATCCTGTAATGGACAAAAACCTCAAATCTAAAGTGATCTGGAAGCACTAATTATTTTAAGTGATGACAATTTTAGAGGTCTACACATGCCAGAATGCAGCTTCTACTTTAAAGCACAATAAAGTCTATTGTAGCTGAAAGGAACACAATTCCATTGATTCTTTAGAGAATAAACTTAAGAAAACTCTTAGAAAAACAAGTAGAAAGCTTGCTACTAGCTCTAGTGATAAACTTATTAGTTTTCACTCTATGCAAAGGAAATGGAACAATATTAAGGTGAATGAATTTAGGTGTAGATCAAAACATGAAGATTATGCTGCCAGGGAGTGAAGGATTATCATCACTTACCTCCCTCATCCAGAAGCTTCCCACTCAGGGGCTGGGATGTATCTGAAGAGTAACATGTAATGGAAATTTGTAGCATTAAATTAACTGCAGCTGATTGGAAGCACCTGATGGAGAAGAGGTGAGAATACCTGCTGTTTTAGAAGTGTGAATAGGATAATCCCCAAATCTGACTTTCTGGTCTTCTGGCCTGACATTAACTACTAAGGTTAAAATTTGTCTCAACACTGGAAAAATACCATAATAATCAGTTATAACAAGTTACTGGAGAGTAGTTTACAGACCAATAAAATGAGAATAGGCTCAACTTATGGTTTTTAACTGCAAGCATGGCCTCGTGACACTAGCAGTCAAATATCCACACATTACTCTCAGCATCAAAAGGAGACACAGGTTTTCACTGACCCGTACAGTGACACAGCCAAAAAACCCAAAACAAACCAAAGCACACCTATCATCTCCTCAACAGACTAGTTAAATATTTAAGTCAAGGCTACAGAAAACAAATTCTTACCTAGTAAGTGTGTACTCCCTGAGTCCTGAATGCAGGTTCATGGCAGAAAAAGTACCTATGCATCCTCGCAATCGCTTATCTCGACCGATCTTCCACGTTACAAACAGTGGGCTGTGGTAGGGAGGAAAAGAGACACGTGATCACAGGAGCAGTTTGACAGCTGGTGTGAAACTTCAGAACAGTGCCCTTCCATTTCAGACAACAGGGGGCAAATCTTGAAAATTACTGTATCTGAACAGGACACAACAGTGAGAAATGTCCTTTGTAATTCTTTTGACTGTTCTAGAAACATTGTTCGTGTGATATGATAGAAAATAAGATTACTGGAATAGTTTAGGGACAGAATGAAACTGCCTGGCAACAGATCCAATATGCTCAGTGTACCTTACCCATTAACCTTCTCCTATCAATGGGAAAAGCCTCACCTTAGAGATCTGTATATAAGAAACCCTTTATGGAAGAGAAAAATACCCCTGCCACACTAGCCATCCATGCTCCTGAACACAAATACTTTGGTCCTAATACTGCTGGCTAGAAATAGAAATTTTTAGAAGACAACAAAATTTAGGAACACCCTCTAAACTTAAAGAACGACCAGAGGAAAGGATATTTTCTCCATGAATCCCAAGTTAGCATTTAAAAATATCAAAAATTACCAGAAGTAGAGCAAAATCTAAGTTTAACACATGACCATGATAGTTACAAAGAAATACTAATAACAAACCAATTCATCCACTAAATTAATCAGAAAGAGGAGAACCATACAGTATTGGGGACCAAACCCTTCCTTGCAGTTCTAGAGAACTGCATTAATCAAAACACAAGCAAGAGAAAACTGCACTAAAGATTTCTCAAGAGAGAGCATATGGCATCTGGATACCAACCCTCACAAAGATTTCTAATACTGAGATGAACAGGGATGTTTCAAGAAGAAAAGCATGTAAAATTTACTCTTTTTCTAGAAAGGTGACAAATCAAAGTGCATTACATAGAGAAGAGTGCACTGTATTATATGAGATCAGTCCCTGCAGCACTGCACAGTGTAGCAGGGATGGGTGTAACTCTCCTGGGGTCCATACACAGGGATGGGTGCACTTTGGGACTCTCAAGGAACAGCCCATATCCCTTTTCTCCTTCCACATCATCTCCTTTATCTGGTGTGGCACAAGATACGTGTTCTGTGATGGCAGAAAAGGATATGCTCAGTCTGCAGCACTAACACAGCAGCACCCAGTCCTCTCCTAACTTGTTAAAATCTGTTATCACCTGCTGGTACAGCAACTTCCTCCTCACTTGACTGAGCTGGACAAGTTCCCTTCTTTCAATGACAATGAATAAAAGAGGAAGCTGAAGTCATAGTTTTCTTTTGGATTTCCTTTTATTTCTTTTCTACTGCCACCCCCTCCCTTTTTAAAAAGTTGTTTAGTAAGTACTGAAAAGCATAAAGCCAAAAGAGCCCATTACCAAACATTTAATAAAATGTGGGTTATTGCACTATTTTCCATTCAGATCAACAACTGGCATTTCACTACATTTTAAAGAAAGGTATCCCAGCCACCCTTAATGGTACCAAAAAAATTATTAAATTGTAATGGCACTGAAAACAACCTCTCCCCTTGAACAGAAATAAGCACGAGTAAGACTCAAAATGGACTTTAGGATTATTCTCTTGACCTTTATCTTTGGATTATGAGATTTATTAGCTGTAATACACTTAGTGGAGGGCTGTATGTCAAGGAAACATATACATATTTACTTTCCTGTCAAAACTGAATTTCTTCTAAGGTGCCTCATTACTGCTACTTTAAAAGGACAAGAGAAGACCAGAGAACTTCACTGTTGGTCAAATAGCACTGAAACAGTTGCATACACTTTGAAGGTCCTTGTCAATGAGTACAAGACAAATTGTAAGTTATATACATATATTTTTGTACTACTGGTAGTAGGAGTATAAACATACTGTTCCAACTGAGTTGGTAAATCAAGCAACACTGGTAGCCATTATTACCATACAACACAAAGTCTGACTAAAGATGTTTTGCCAACCTTTCAACTTCTGTACTGCTCCCCAGGAGCCACTAAAGGTATGAAGATGTCTACACAGGAAATCTAAGCCTACTGAACAGAATTACCCAATTACCATCACAGTTGTCTTCAAAGTGTAATATGGACCACAGGTTCAGAACAGTCAGTGACCCAAGACGATTCTAACTCTTAAAATTCAAGAAATAAGGCTGAAAGAGACCTTCAGGGCTCCTGCTATTGTAAGGAATAATTATATAATTCTGTTCATAAATGATCCACGTTCTACTGTCAGCAGTAGAAATAATGGAGACAAAATCCCCAAAATGAAAAATCTGAAGCTTGCCTCAAAACTTTGCTGAAGTTCAGAACCTCTGAAAACATTCCAATTTCCTGCCAAAATGTTTTCCCAGCCAGCTTGTACCTATCTATTCTTGTGCCAACATTGTCCTTTAGTTTAAATAGTTCTTTCCCTTCCTGGTTATTATTCCCCAAAGTATTTATAGAAATAATTCACATGCCTCTTCAGACTTCACTTTGCTGAGCTGAGTGGGATGTGCTCATTCAGTTTCCTCTCAAAGAGAACCTTTCCATTCTGACCATCACATCTCTTCTCTACACTTTTTTCCAGTTTAAATTTGCCCTCTTGAACATCCATGTTTGGAACTGCAGACAGAATTACAGAGGAAGGTCTTGCACTTGAATCGATGCTTCCATCTCTGAACGAGGAACACTGACTGCTACTAACTCTTACAGCCTAATGCAAAATCTTCAGAGAGCATTTCTAGTCTTACACTAAACAAAGACCACAGAAAACCTGCTCACAGAAGCTAGACAAGCTATGGGAAAAAATAGTATTTTTCTTACTAGTGATGTTATTTAGCTTTTTATTGGCATCCTTGGCTTCAGCTGCCAGCAAATCTTCCTCAAGGCTGCAATTCTTTTGTTGTGTTCTAAAGCCAATAACCCACAAATAAACTTGCTATCTGACATAACTGCAAATTTAATGCTGAAGCCCCAAACTCTAGAGACATTGATGTCAAAAGCAGCTAAGTAAATCTGCTCATTTTCAACTTGAAAAAAAATTTCATCTGTTACCTGTTTTTCTTAAAATAAAACCAAGAGTTTTTTGAGCAACACATTGTTAGATCTAAAAATCTTTAGTAAGAAGCAGCAAAGGTTGCAGATGCTTAGATTTCTTGTTCTCCAAGGACGTACAGCAAGGATATGCATGGCATCCTGGAGATCAGTTTTCTTTTTGCCTAAGGAACTTTGAAGCCACATATCCCACAGGAATCAAAGAGCATACTGGGTGGAGTGCTCTCACCTTTCTGTCTGGTTCCCTCTTGATGTAGTCAGAAAGCTCCAGATGTTGTTGTTTGTTAGTTTAAAGAAAAAAATATTCACAAAACCAGACTTTGCACTTCCCTGGGAAGTGTTCTAATAACCAGCCTTAAGCAGTTCTCTTACTCAGTTAAGGATTAAACATAAAAACAAAACAGCTCCAAGCTTGGGAGTGAGCTATCTTGAACCACCAGACTCGGAAATTTATTTGTTCAGCTTCTCGTTGTGGTGCCAGGAACCTCTAACATGCTGCTGACAGTGTTAAAAGGAGTTCTGCTGAACGCCACCAAGTATCAGTGGCTGAAAGATGGTGGAAGGTGTTTCAAACCATAAGGGAACAGAAGAAGAGAACAAATCCAGACTCTCTGAAGCCCCTGTAAACATGACAATGAATCTGCTTTCATAAGGATCTACATTTTGATTTTTTTGTTTGAGAGCCAGACACTGAAAAAGTATTTGTATCCAAAACTATTTACAGGTGCCACAGCAAATTCACAAGCAATCTAAAGGCTCATAATCCAGACATTGCATGACTTGCTATTGATCAAAAAGACTTGCCTAGCTCTAATCTAACTAGCAGGAACTGTTTCAGATATTTGCTATAGAGGTTGTCAGGCACTACCCCATGAAAATCAGCTGATCATGTATATTGTTTTTTCCTTCCAGTGGCAATATTGAATTAAAGAGACCACTGCAACACAGTTGAGTTTAAACTGATATTACTTCCTTATATACAACTTGTTATAAAAAGGGCATGTTATGAAAAGGGGCATACATACACAGTCTGTCTCCTTGCCAGATTCTAAAACACATCCAACACCCTGAACAGTGACCTTATAGGCAAGCCAGAAAATGTGTGGCTGAAGCCCATGTGCCTGGGTCACCCAATGAGTGCTGCCCATGTCAGACTCCAGCTATTATACCCCTCTCATTAATGAAAAAACTAGCACAGCCCTATACTTCACCAGAGCATTAATCTGTTACAACTCCTGGAGAACTAGTACAATCCCCATGGAGGCCACAATGTATAACCCTATCTAAACACTGAAAGCAAGTATCAGAGCAGTCTCTGATACATCATGCTTAAAAAGTGTGCTTAGGGCACTGGTAATGAATGCTTTACAGCCAAAATCGCCTAAACCAATTACTCACCTGTTGCTATATGTTACTGAAAATATTTAGACTGAAAGCAGAAGTCTGCAAGCTATTTTAGCAGTCAGCTACCACAGTTAAGAGTCATCATGCCAATAACTTACACTGACATCATGCAGAATGCACTGTTAAAAATATCTTCTTTCAATACAAAGCAGCACTAGATACAAGCTGCCTCTTATTTACCAAAAAAGTGAAGGGATCCTTAAAGTTCGGGTGTGGGAGAGAAAGCAAGAACCATGAATAAACTGGTCTTGTCCTGGCACCACCAGTATAAAAAGTTTCTCTTCCTTGTTGTGGAGATGGAGAAAAAGAAAGGAGGGGAAGGTGAGAAGAACAGGGGAAAGAAAGGGTAACAGATAAAGAAATTTCTTTACTTTCATAAAAGATGAGTGAGAAATGTTTGTTTCATTTGAAGACTTCCAAGTAATAAAAAACTTGGAGGACTTTGAAATGAAAAGGATTTAACTTGATGAACTGGGAGGTAAAATGATATTTAGACAGAGACTTTAATTACAGTTCTTTAACCACTACCTCTTATAACCACAGAAGGTAAGACAGCCTCCACAGCCCTCATGTCACTTGACACCCAG